GCAAGTCTAATTCGGGGGTTCAGGGTTAGAAAGCATGCCTGCCTCAGCTTAAGCTACAATCCTTCAACCATGGTGGTCACTTTCTCCCCTTTCCCATTTGCCTTAGTTTTTCTCTTATTTCCAATTCAAAACCACAGACATTATATGTTTAGGGCCTCTGAGTCTCCCCAAATCTTCAGACGTGTTGTGTCTGGAGAGTCTGAGATAAAATGAATTGCCTATATGTAGCTCCTTCCCAAGAAAGGGAAGAGCTAGGCTCTGCCTGCCTAGTCTCATGCCCATTGGGCGAGTGGCTGGTTAGTTATACACTACAGGGTATCCTTCACAGGATACAGGAAACTTCATAAGTAGAAAATAGCTGCCCCCTCCCACTAACAAATACATCATTAAGAAATTAGCAAGCCTAATAACCAACACCAAAGATTATGACAAAAACACACATGCCATTTTGCCCTGGCCAGTATTTCTCAGAGGTTAGAGCATCAGCCTGCACACCGAAGGGTCTCAGGTTCAATTCCCAGTCAAGGGCAAGTACCTGGGTTGCAGGGTGGCTTCCCAGCCTTGGTCAGGCGCCGTATGAGAGGCAACCAATTGATGTGTTTCTCTCACATCTCTCTCTCTTTCTCTCTCATCCTTCTTTTATTTCTCTCTCTCTCTCTCCTTCCCTCCCTCCTCTCCACTGTCTCTAAAAATCAATGGAAAAAATATTGAGTGAGAATTAAAAAAAAAATTTTCATCTAATTGCAAAAACAATATGCGAATAAGCAAAATACACCACACAGAGTACTCTAGTTAACTGTGTTGCACTTTATCAATTTTCTTGCTTTAGTAACGTAAGATGTCACCATTGGGAGAAGCTGGGCGATGGACCTCTCCACTATGTTTTCAACATCTTGTGAATCGAATCTATACTTATTCAAAATAAAAATAAAAAAAAGGCAGATCCAAAGAGTAAACACTGTGCATTCCGTTTATATTAAATTCCAGAACAGCAGAGCTTATCTATGACGAAAGGGATCAGAAAAATGGTTCCCTTTGGTGGGGGTGGGTAGGAGAGTAGGAATTACCTGGCAAGGGGTGGGAGGGAATTCCTGAGAAATCCACATCTTGATGCAGATGCGGATGTGGATTACATGGCTGGATGCTTTTGTCAAAACTCATCAAATATCAGAACTGAGCATTTCTCTGTATTGTAATAAATTACAGACCTCCATGAAAGCAATTAGAAAAGACACGGCCTCCTCTGCTGCTTCCTATCCAAGCAAAGTCTTCCAAAGAGATGCTTCAAAATATGTTCTCTGTCTAATCATCCAACCTCTAATAAAATTAGCTGTGCCAATTTAAGAAATATAATCATGGGCATATTTGCTTCCATTTTATAGGTAAGCTGTTTATTTCCTCCAGAAACCAAAGCAAGTTTCCATCAGGTAGAAGTTACTGCCTTGGTCCTGATTCCATGATCTGAAGAGGCAGGCTACCCATAGGCAGGTTAAGCCAGAGAATGAGAGTTAATACACTTTCCAGCTTATGTATGCATACTCGTAATTTACTTGGTAATGTGTATATATATATATATATACACACAT